GCTCTGTATTTTCTTCCTAAGAATCTGCTGCTGCCTCTGTACTTATTTTAGAATAAATTTTGGACTTCTAAGGATGGTACTGGTGGCCCCTCAGATCTGGCCTCAGCTTTCTTCCAGTCTCATCACCCCTGCTCTCCCCCCTGGCATAAGCCATAAGCTTAGGCACAATGGCCTTTCGCCCTTGATTCCTGTGTGTTCCAGAGGTGAGGGGAAGACATCGCCCATTTCTGCTTCTGAAATCAGTTATGCCTGAGACCCACATCAGGTAATACCTTCCTCAGGAATTTTTCCTCAACTCTGCCAGTAAGAATCACTCACTGTCGCCTCTGTGCTATAATTACCCTTTGTATTATGCCTTTATTTTTGCTTAAAAATTTTTTTTTAACTTTTCAAAAATGTTTAAATGGAGATACTGTGGATTAAACCCTGGACCCTCGTGCATGCTAAGCACGTGCTCTAACACTGAGTTATACCCTCACCCTATTTTGACTTTTAACATCCCTTGCCTTACATTTTTGTTACCAGTGAATCTGTCTACCTTTCTTGCTAGACATCCTTGAAGAGTGGGATGACAATTATCCATCTACGTCTCCCTCAAAGCATCCAGCACAAAGTACACCATAGGTACGAGTAAAAGTTCATGAACAGAACTGAAAAAAGACTCTGTGTCGCTAAAATCCCTTTAGTATGCAACCGCACAGGAACATGTGGCCATCTGCAGAATCCCCCCAGGAAATGATCCTATAAAAACTGTTGAGGAGCATGTGGTTCACGAAGGTTGTAGGAATGCTCTATGAAGCAGAAGAGTATGCCACTGAGCCAGTGTACAGCGTAAAGGGTTAACCTTTTCTGGGAAACTCACTTTGTGTGAAGATATACTGAAACAGAATACAAAGAAATCTTCGGAAGTAGTGAGTAAATAAAGTTTACTTTTTGACAGCGATCTCTTGCCAACAATTAAGAAGGAGAAACTGAGGGAGGAAGTGAAGGATAACACGATCAGGTTACCTCTGAAGAAAAGATCAAGTTGCAGAGATGAGTGAAGAAGTCCAGGGGGAGAGGAGGGAGGAGCACGGCTGAGCAGCAGTAAGTATTTGTTTCCTTATATACCCTAACTTCCTCCAGCTCCCGTTACCATCCACCTCTCATACAGTCTGCTCCTTTTTTGCAATTCAAAGGTATCTTCAGAAGAGTAAGATTTTAGCAAAAATTTTATAATTACATGTAGCATTTTATACTATCTACTGATGACCTAGGTCATCAGTAGACTTTATGTTATTAATACACAGTGAAAAGGAGACTTATCACCTGGGAGTCTTTACTAGTTAAAGGACTGAGAATTAGATGACTGGTGGCGAATCGCTATTAGGTAAAACCCCCGCTGATTCTCCCTAGCCTCCACCTCAGGCTGGCATGTGCCAGAGCCCTACGTTCAGGCTCCATCTGACTCAGTCGATATAGCCTTTGTTGACAATCCCATCAGCTCCATGATTCAGCTATCAGATCCACACGGATCAAGGTTTAGACTCTATTTTGAGACTACTTTACTTCCAAGCTTCAAACTCGTATTTCCAACTGTTTCTTGGGCATTTTCACTAGGATATCCTGATGTCCCTCAAACTCAGCATACTTATAACCAAATTCATTATTTCTGCTTCCCGTCTCCGCAAATAAAAGCACCCTACTACTCCTTTGGTCTAATCTTAAAAAGCATTACCTACCTAGTCAACAAATTAGAAACCTGCAGTCATCTTAAACTTCTACCTTCCCTCGTTCCCCAAATCCTGCTGATTCTGCCTGCTTCCTAACATATCTCTCAGGATGAAATTTCTGCTGCTTCACAGATTGTTTCCACAACCTTCGCGAACTAAGTACTCCTTGACAGTTTCTACAGGATCAGTTTCTGGGATGTGGGATTCTGCAGATGGCCGCATATTAGAGGGATTATAGAAAACAGTTTAAACTCCAGAAGAAAATTCTTCATTGTGCCTGCCAAGGTAACTATTATTAACAGTTTGGTGCATTTTTTTCCAATTGGAAGTGTTTTTAGACTAGAGTTGTCCAGCTGAATTTCTGAACCTCACTCGGCAGTAAACAGAAGCCTGATGATCCAATAGACATGTCTGTCAATTTATTCTAGAGAACTATGCTTGATCACATTCCTATCATCTGGAAAAGTCCTTTATTCAGTATGCATTTAGCGCTCTCCACTCCATGTTTTTTAGTATAGTAAACTAATCATGTAGTTTACAGGGGAAGAGGAATATTGTTGGACCCATCCCTCTGGGCTATAACCTCTTCAGAGAAGAGACTGTTTTCTCTTGCTTTAATGTCCCTCTGAAGTGATTATAAAAGCTTTTCCTCCAGTAGCATCAGTTATGGTTGCTGGTACTGTCAGTGATATGAATTTCTGTCTTAAGTCACTCGCTCACCCATAGCTATTTCTCCTGGTCACTGGATGACAATTAAACAGTTTATTTTACATGTACAGGCCCTGGGAACAGATAACGCTCACAGGAAAAGAAAACATCACAACTAACTGGGAACAGAACAGGGAACCAAGCAGGAGAAAATACCATCATGACACACTAGTACCAGAAAGCTGCAAGAAAGCCTCCTTCTGGTTTGACAATAACGTCAACTGTATGCGGAGACAATACAGAAATAAACTAATAAATGGTAACATATCCTTTGTTAAAAAACAAGCCAACCTAAGAGCTAAAATCTGACAAAAAAGACGGGTCATATATTTTATCTGCTTTAAATAACTGGTATACTATTAATCACATATAGTCATTGCACATCCATCAAACAAACCATGCTATTCTTTCTCAATATGGGCTTTTATTTTTCAGTGAGTAAAAGAAGGGAAAGAGATGTCAAAGAAGCAGAAACCTCCAGATAAGTTAACAGAGGAGACAAAACATGTTTTCTCTTAATCCAATCATAAAAACTCATTAAAAGGTAATAAATACAGCAAAAAACATAATACGACCAAAACTACCAAAATAGTTAAAGCATTACAAATTTTAAAGTAAGATGGTAGCTTTGATATAACTGCAAGTAAAAGATAGTTTAGTTCCTGCCCACAAGAATTTGCAACTGTTAATATGCTTATGTTGGACTTAGAGAATTTATTTTTAGAGAGATAGATGGTTCAAATAGTTTCTTTGAAAGGAACTGGAAACCCCACAGTTTAACATTTCTATAAAAAGTTTATGCCTTATTCTCGTTTCAGACTCCAGAGGCACAAATTTAGGGTTACTGGTATACAGAATAGTAATTCCTCTGTAGTTTTCTCTTATCTTGACTTTCAATTACTTCAATTCCTCTTGTAAAGCACTT